TAATCATTCATTATAAAGCACAATAATTATGTCGGATGCTAAGGTGGTCTGAAGAAAATTCGTCTCATCCATTATTCATCACTCACTGATTGTTAAATCATTAGTTCATCAAGGTGAACAAATTCGTATAGATTTTTATGCGTTTTTTGCAGCTATGCAATGCAAAGACACATGTTGACGAGGGTTTGTCTGTGTGTCCGTGTGTCTGTGTCGGTCCCCATTTTTCATCTCAAGACCTATAAAAGCTGCAGGGCTGAAACTTCGGGAACTTAATCTGCATGCACGTACGGGCCTCAATCCCCAAAGCGGGCGCTATTACCTGCGTGGTACGCGCGTACAGGCCAGCCAAAGTTTTTTACGGGTAAGTTCATAAATCGGGGATCTGAGAAGCTAGAAAGCTGAAATCTTAGGGGATGTCCCCTGTCCAAATACGTATAAACAGGCTCATACCCAGCCTCGGGTAAGCGTGGTACTTACGTACGGCCCCGTGAAGGATTCTTTCAGGTAAGTTGTTAACTCGGGAACATGAGAAGCTAGAAGACTGGAATTCTGAAGGGACGTTTCGTGACAGTCCTTGCCGCTGGTCGAAAATTCTTTTAGCGAGAAACATCTGCCAGAAATACCAGTGCCGTTAGCGACAAAAAATTTGCGGAAAGCTATGCAAAAAACGCATCTTCGCACGGGCATCCCGTGCGTTGGCCAATTATTGAAATCACGTTAAGAAAATAAGTTATATTTTTCGAATTATTATTTTCAAAGTATTCTTTTTGAATGTATCTCTTACAGATCTTCGCTGACAATGATATGTTAATGCAAGCAATGATGGATGCCGGGTTGTGCCTCACAATGGTATCTGTCTTGAAACGCATTGCTGCATTGCCTTCCATGTATGATTTCATTTTATAATTTTCGTTTTTCGGTAAAAAAATTTACTTTTTTTTTCCCTGAACGTTTTTTTAAACTCTTTTTTCATGCGAGGGAAAGGGTCACACAAAAATCGATGGAGGGTTGCAACATGTCAAGCACTTTGAAAGAAAAAAAAAAACTTTTAAGTAAACTCCAGGATCCTCAGCAACAGGATGCCCAGCGAATTTTGCACCTTCGATCGCGGTAACTATACCAGGGTAAGGTTACCCACTGTGCATACAACGGGCAGAGATGCGCCACGATAAGATGCCAGCTATTCGAAATAGTATCAAAGTACAGTTACTCTGCCAAGAAGCTATTTACAGTGTTTTTATAGAACAACTGACTTGGCGTACGTGAATGGTGTGACGGCACCATTTATGAAATGTTGGTACGGTATGTTAAAGGCAATTACCACTCGCTGTTTACCTTATCGGTTCGTTTCATGCTTTACTTCCTGGATTAGCTAATAACTCTGTGCAGTATTTTTGCGTGTTTTTTTGCAGCTATGCAATGCAGAAAACGCATATTGACGAAGGGTTTTCTGTGTGTGTGTGTGTGTGTACGCGTGTGTGTGTGTCCGATGCGTTTTGTTTTTATTGTTTCCTTTCATGAATTTCACTGCATTCATAACTGATCGTGGCTGTATGCATGTGAATCTTCCCATAGCTCGAGGAACGTTGGAAGCAACTTTTG